TAAAAATCCAAAACTAAATCAAATCTACCTGGGTTGGATCCATTTTTCGTAACTTTAAGAAATACTTTGATCCAATGAAAGTCACAAAATTTAGTTTTCTTAAGGTTTCTTTATCTCTAAAATGGGTTCTTGTGGGTTTAGGTTTCAAATGAACCTAAAACCTATCCTTAAAACCCTTTATGTTTCAAAAAAAATCAATATAATGAAAAGAAAAAAAAAAATTCGCCCTTAGGTGGGCCGCAGGCCCTGGGCGGCCGCTCAGGGCTAGGCACTGGGCGTCCGCCTAGGCGGGTTCCGTATTGCCTAGGCGGAGGCCCAAGGACTGCGGCCCAGTTTGGTCGCCTAGACCAGGGCGATGCGCCCAGGCCTTCTGGACCGCCTAGGCATTGGGCGATCTACTTTTTTGAGCAATGCGCATAATGGTCCAATTGTTCATCATCTGCAGTATGCATATGACTTTTTTTGTGAACATACTCAAGAGCATATGATTAAATCTATGGTTATTTCTCAAGCGCTTTGAAGTGGCCTCAAGTCTTAAGAGTCGACAACCAGAAAATGAAACATTTGGGTGCAATGGAAACGAATGTGGAACTGAGGAACCAAGCTAAGATCATCGCATGTGAGGTTCAGAAACTTCCAAGTGAATATCTTGGACTGTCACCAGATAAGGTCATTGAGAGACTTGAGCGAAAATTAGGTCCATGGAAAATGCATTTTCTATCACTCCTACTTTGCCAATATACTTCATGGCCCTAATTCCCATGCCATTGTCGCTGGTTAATCATTTAGAAGTTAATGAGGATGTTACCAAGGATTGGGGCCTCAAAAAAAAAAGTATCACCTAGTTAATTGGAATCAAGTCTGTAACCCAAAAATAAAAGCGCGTCCAGGTATAAGAAGGTTAAGAAAAACTAATCAAGCTTTGATAGAAAAGTGGCAGGGGAGGTTCAGTCAGCTGGGTCAACAATTGTTGAAGAATGTCATTGCCTATAAAACAAGGTTGGGAAATTTGGAAGGACGGCGAACCGCATAAGGACCAAAGGAGCAGTCTCCCATTGGAATTCTGTTACTCGCAGAGAGGAATACCTTTTCTACAAATACAAGAATGCAAGTGGGACAGGGGACTGAGTTTTTGGATACAAGTGTCTTCTTGAAGAGGCCACCAATGCAGTTTTCCAGATTCCTCTTCATCTTTTGTTCAAAGCTCGGGCTCTATGCCGTTTGGAACATAAAACTAGGGAGATGTCTTAAAGACGTGAAACAAAGGCCTTTACAGATCTCCTAAACACGTTGCAGTCTTTATTCTACGAGCCAGGGAGGCAAGATGGATTAACTTGCAAAAGAAAAATTCTCAGAGAAGTCCTTCTCTATGGTGCTTACACGGGACTCCACCCAAGTTACAATTGCTTGTAAAGTTTCGAATATACCCACCCCAGCCAAAACCCAAGCTCTTGGGTGGTTACCAGTTCTTTATAAAGTCCTGACCACTGACCATCTCAAAAACTGGGGTGATTGGTACCCAATAGATGTGGAATGCACAATGCTAAAGTGAAATTAGTAAGGCATCTCAACACCATGATGTAGTGCTCAAGGTATGGGCCTGCGTTATAAACTTTTAGCCGTAGGATCATTCCCAGGGAGCAGAAATTAGATTCACTCCCTCCAGCTAAACCTGAAGTAAGAGTAATTTTAGAACCTCAAATTTTGGGGATGTAACCTCCTTAAACCTGACAAACAACCTCAAAAAGTACACATGTACACACTTCATATAGGCGCTAGAAGAAAAAAAGGTCCCAATATTGGATAGAGATTGTTCAATTTTTTGAATGGTTAGATCTAGGTATTTAAGAAATCAAAATCCTTGTTTTTTTCTTCTTTTTTTAAAAATACTCAGTTGGTGATTATCAAGTGGATTCCTAAATTTCAGATTAAAAATTTCCTCATAAACAGGTCTTTTTCCCAAGGGATTATATGTATAGTCTGCTCCACCAGGAGTACAATACACACTAAACGTCTAAATATTCAGTGGGTTGTGCCTAAAACAGTGGAAATTTATTTATGCAATGGCATAGTCTGCCTCTGCCCAAACCTGAGATCATATTATGGAGAATAACTCTGATGGCTATTATATGGTCCATATAAGTAGAAAGAGGAATGGTGGGCCCTTAGGTCAGAGGAAAATTAAATTTAATGGTAAATGGAAAATGGACAACTCTGCCATTGCCGATCCCAAGCCTGGATGAGAAAGGAGGAGGGTTATGTTAGGTTGGCAGCCAGCGTAAAACTTTTGCCACATCTCTATCATGAATTCTGATCTAACATTATCTGAGTATATGGCCCATGATAGAGCGGAATGGCAGAATAGGAATCCTGTAGCCAAACCCACATAGTTGGGATAAGGCTCGTATGGTGATGATGATGATGATGATGATGGTCGTTAATGGTAAATGGATAACATAAGAGCAACTATTATTTCTTGGGCAAAAGTGAGTATGGAATTCTATAATGGATTTTCACAGTCAATGGTTCTCTATCTTACGAAGTACAATGCCCCATTTGTCAAGGAATGCAGTTTGGAAGCTCAATCGGGAATCCGGGCCTAGCAGGTGTTGAGGGAGCCATTCGAGGTCGTGAAGGTAGAACCCTGATGCCTGTGATTCAAGCAAGGAAGAAGCACATGCTCTATTAGCAGGGTTGGGAGCCATATGACCAGGTTGGAGTTCAATAGTGATAGAGGGGGATTCAAAGGATGTAATCAGATGGGTCAGTAACCACACAGAATATCCTTGGAGACTGGCAAATACGTTCAAGGAAGTTTTTGACATTGTCAGTAGAATCAGGGCATCTTTTTTTCATGTATGGAGAGAGGGCAATGAACTGGGTGGGTGAGGAGGGATGTAACCCTGTTGGTAGTGACACATTTTTTATGGTTTGTATCATCCATTGGATGACTCACATTTTTTTAGAGAAATTACATATGTAAATATCATTGTTTGATTAATGAAGATGCAATTCCCAATAAAATAAAACAAAAAGGAAAATAAAAAGTTGAATACCAAGAAGTTATTCAAAAAGGGAACCCTATTCCTCCCTAGGAGTCTTCTTTATAGTAATTTTGATTTTTGATCCAACAAATTTTCATTATGAGAAAGAGAAACTATTAGTAAGTGCAGTCCCTTCCAGAATAACTGATCAGTAGATATACCTCAACACATCTGCAGTATGGCCTGATGGAAATTCACCTCCGAAAACAGATAGCCTCTGACCTGTGGTAACATCCCATAAAATGCAGGTTTGGTCTCCAGAACTAGTTATTAGATGTGTGTCCCCATCAGGAACATATTGGCAACAGGACACATAACCCTTGTGTCCACTTAGAATTCTTGATACTGGTAGATTCCCATCCTTGTCAGTTTGAGAATTGAGGTTGAAAATGGAGCACGCACTGTCAAGACCGCCACAAGCAACCGACTGGCCAGTGGGGGAAAAGGCGCATGTCATAACCCATGCACATGGTAACTTAATTGCATGTGTTTTCTGGCTAGTTAGAGCATTCCATACAATAAGCCTGCCATCTTGAGATGCACTCACAATGCGGTTCTTTTCTGAAGTCCAGTCCAATGAATAAACCTAGAGAAATTGAATAGATGCATGGTGAAGGTGAGCATTTTCAAGCTGGACGCATAGTTGCCTTCCACAATTAAACTTGAGAAAGATAAGAAGTCAATAGTTAATGCCTGAGCCAGGAAAAACATGTAAATAATTATAAGATAATTAATTTAAGAGTCTGTGACATGATGATACAATTAAAGAGAGTTATTTGCCACAATGTTCTGACCTGAAAAAATCAAAGGAAATAGAATAGAGAACGCACAAAAAATCTAGGCCTGCATATCAACGGTGAAAGGATCTATGATATCACAACCAAGCTATGGTTAAAACAGTAGGAAGTATAATACGTACATAGTGAAAGACTAGCATAGAATTACTGGTCGACAACAAGGAATAATAGCCCACTTATATATAGAAGTTGTTAAGGGAAATATAAATTTACTTAGAAGATGTAAGTTGGACATCTTTTCGTGATTGTACTTCTACATCCAAATGAATGAGTGGTTTAGCCATCTTTCAGCATCAGTTGTTTTGTCTTTCAGGTTAGAAATAACTAAGACAGCTCCGTTGTTGCATTACTGGATGCATCATCAAAACACGAAAGCCAGCAACTATCAGATATTAAACTAAACCATGTAAGCTTGCAGGTTCAAAAACTTCGGACTCGGACTCAGTTCATCTGACATACAAGGTCACCCAGCATTTCTCCTACTTTTTGATGAACTCGGCTCATCATATATGTGTGTGTGTGTGTGTGTGTGTGTGTGTGTGTGTGTGTGTGTGTGTTTCTAAGTGATGGTAGGTGGTGTATTGGTGTTGGTGGGGGAAAGAAGGTATATATGGATTTGTGCATCTTGGATCCGACAAAAACAATCGTGGAAAAATAAATAAGCAAAAAGTTCCTAAAAAGTTGTGTTTTTTTTTTTTTCTGGACAATAAAGATAACACAGTGAATATGGTCATCCATTTCAGGTGTTACTAAAATGCTGTTAGTTCGACGCCTTAAGGAGATCTGTTTGACCCAAAATTTTGTAGATCGATTCATCATCACCAGCAGATGAACAATTGGAAAAAGATAAATGAAATTGAGTTCTCTAGGACCTAGATCTGACTGTCCAAAATTGAACATAGGTTCCCTGTTGGGGCTGTTATTCTTTAGACACTTCTAGGGTTTAACCTTTTTTTTTTTTTTTTTTTTTTTTTTTTTTTTTTTTTGTAGAATGTCTTCTAGGGTACATGTTTTCAATATTTTTTTTTTACTTTGGGAGGTGGAGTGGGGGAGCACTAGGAAGAGTAACGCATACGTCCAGATTTTGGGATCGAAAGGACCCCCCAGCTATGTTTTTGAGCTAGGGCAAACACCTTACAGCCCGGCCTTGAGCGGAAAAAAATTTTCCATAAATATAAATAAATGTGTGAAAGAAGAAGAAGAGAGGTTGGGGGGAGGGGGGGTCGGGGGAGAGAGAGATTCTGGCGAGAAGAGAAACTTCAAATGTAGAATAGGGAATATATAAAAATGGTTGTTGGAGGGGGTATTTCTAATCAAAACACCCAAAAAATGAGATTAACAACTAGGCACTAGTCATAATTTGGGAACCATTTAAGTGAATGTTAAATTTAAAGCATGGTAAATAGGCGGTCCACCAGGAGATGTGGTGGGTTGGTCAACACAGGCTAATTCTGGCTTTTACCCGCCAAGATTTTGAACCATGTATACAAGTAATTCTCTAGAATACTAACACAAAGAAAAAGTAAGGACAGAACAGATCACTGTGATGGAAAATATTTTACCAGTGAACTCTCACAGACATATTCCCTCTAAATGAGTAGGGTTATCTATCAGTGATATTGCTCATTTTAAAACAGCACTGCTACTATAACAGCCTCGTCTTTGGTAATTAAAGGCCATTTATAGTAGAGTTGGTAACAAAATATCCTACTAAATATGAAGATTCCTCAGTTAGACACGGTAAATAACAGAATTTGCATGACTGAGGAATCCCCCACAAATGTTTTTATAGAATTAGCAGCAATCTTAAACTGACATGAATACATGAGAAAATCAGCTGACATAATATTTTACGTATGCAACAAGCATCAATGATAATAATAACATCCTCAAGGAACATGAATGCCAATAACCAATATAATAATAAATAGCCAAGAATGACCTTCAATCCTCTGGTTTCTTATTTATTCCATTCAATGGTATACCCACAAAAAGGTCTAAGGCATCAAATTGTTTTTCTTACATCAAACTCTTCAATCCGCACATTCAAATTTGAGCAGCAATCACAACTTCCCCAATCCCACAGCTCCAGTGGTCTCAATCCCAATTTCCCCAAATCCACATCCACGGACCGTAGTGGCCTCAATCACAACTTCCCCAATTCCATACTACTGTGGTGTTAACTATTCCTAGCCCGAGGATTGTCCTCTCAACATCAAAATCCTTCACTTTCCAAATAAATATTAGTGAGATTTTCTTTTCTTTCCTTTTTTTTATAACAGTTACATTTTAGTGAGATTTTCATAGATGAAGTATTATTCTCATGCACGAAACTTGGTTAAAGAATTTGATACAGAGCAAAGGTGTCAAAGTGCAAGCTGTGGCCTCAATTCCCAGTGTCATATCTTTCATGTGATTGTGATTTATTGGGAAAACTACTTAAAACCCACATTTCATATGATCGTAATGTATTGGGGAAACTACTTACAACCTACATGTCTCTATCTATTTTATGAACTAATTTCAACTACCATCCCAAAATCTAAACAGCCTCATTTATAAATTTGAACTTCAAAAGTGATGAGGTCCAAAGAGTAGTTAATTTTGATGTCGCCCTAAATTGGGATTATTTTTACACTCAAAAGGTGAGAAACTCGAGCTTTTGATCCCATATGCCCCATATACATTATTTGAGAGCTATTGTAAAAAGTAGAATAGCATAAGTAACGAAGCAAACAAGTCTAAGAAACATATTTAAAAAAAATCACCAAATAATAAACAACTAGAAGTCTCTGATAAGATCATCACCCTTCCAGTGTGCCCTTGCAAAGTCCTGCAACAAACTAGATCTGTTGGTCCAAAACTGACAGGTGTTTTCCCGATAGATTTTGCATAGCCAGCAACTACAAAATCAACCGGTCCCCAAGAATCACAAATAACTCGCTAAATCAAAAGAACTCAAAAACATTGAAAACAAATGGGAAACCCATTGCTTTTTCTTTTTCAAAATGAAAATCGGTAGATGATAAGTATCTTACCATCAGTATCCAAGAGCTGCAGGCGTTTTTGCTTCAATCTTTCCCTTAAGCTATTTACTGTTGCAGTAGCAGCAAGATGTTTTTCCTTCAACTCTGCAACTGACATTTTAGACCTAATTTAGATCAACCAATGCTCCCTCTACTTCATTACAGCTCCTTCTCGAGCTGGATCCAAACCGCTCTCGAATCCCCTGCAAATCCTAATACAAGCTCAATCCAGCTATGCTACCTCCTCAAAAGCCTCTTTCCGAGTTCAATTGACACACTAATTCTCCACACTCTCTGAAACACGTTTTTTCTTCATTTATCACTCTGATCAAAACCTGATACCGCACTATCTATGAAACTTAATACAAATGTCCCCACTTGATCGATGCTTCTTATGAGCTCGATGGAAACCCTAATTCCACATCTTCCTGCGATTTCTAAGACAGGCGATTTTCTATGGTTTATCCCCCGCCGGGGGAGGAGTGTGAGAGAGAGAGAGAGAGAGAGAGAGAGAGAGTTAAGGAGAGATGGTCGAGTACGAGAGAAGGGAAAAATGTGAAAGAAAATGTGAGAGAACAGAAAAATGGGAAAAAAATAAAGAGAGCTGAGAAAATGTGAAGAAAAATGAGAGAGGGAGAGAGAAGGGAAATAGGGGAAAATGAAGAGAGAGAGGGAGAGAAAATAAAGTAGAAAACGATGAAGAAAGAGAACAAAGGAGAAGAAGATAAAATTTGGTGAAGAGAGAGAGAGCAAAGGAAAAACCAGAGGAAAAATGGTAGAGAGAGAGCAAAGGAAAATAAGCGAAGAGAGGAAAACAAGGCCAAAAATGGTAGAGAGAGAGAACAGAAAAATAAGCGGAGAGAGAGAGAGAGAGAGCGTGGTCGCGCGCGTGCAAAGGGAAAACAAGGGTAAATGGGAGGAAAAACGCGGGGAAAAGATAGGAGAGACGAATTTTCCGCGACAAGATGGATCTTTCAAGGGACTCTTCAATCATAATAAATCACGAGAAGACTGTGTGGCAATGGACACTGGACCCCGGACCCGACCTCAGTTCGGGTTTGGGTTTAAAAATTGGATAAAGCGGACTAGAACACCACTGGGTTTGGTGTCCGGGCCACGTAGAGATATAGACCCAACTCTAGTGTTAATATTTAAATAATATTTAATAATTAATATTTAAAAAAAGAAGGAGTCAAGGTAAATTTACAGAAAAAAAAAAGTACACCAGATACAGACCCAACGCTAGTGTTAATAATTAAATAATATTTAAATAAAGGAATAGTTAAGGTAAATTTACAGGAAAAAAATAAAAAAAATTCAGCACCACAATTTCTATACAATTTATCTCCAACTTACTTTTTTTTTCACTTTTTTTTTTCTCAAAACAAACTTTATATGCAATTACTTTTTTTTATTTATTTTTTTTGACGAAAATGCCATTCCCATATACAAAGCTCATTTTGACCCAATTTGATGGTGACTTTTTTATACAGTAATACATTGCCATAGCACACCATAGCAACCCGCCCTTTACATAAACTTAAGTACCTGGCCGCCCTTTACATAAACTTAAGTACTTGGCCGCCTTAACTATAGGATAAAAATGATTACTGCTGAACCACCCTTTATTATACCACCCTTTATATAATATCGGAGACCTGAAATCCGATAACATCTATTATCGAACTGCCATATGCAATTGTCGGATTACAAACATCTATAGGCGGATCGCACTTTGCAACTGCCCTTTACAAAGTGTTCTACTGGCGAACCATGGAGCCCTATTTTGGTAGGATAGACGAGATAGAGGCGTGGGCAAGGTAAAAATAAGAAATAGTAGTTTAGGAATTTTATTTATTTTTTGGTTGGGAGTATTTGCATAAGAAAAAGTGAGAGTTAGATTCGATGTAAGTTGTATAGAAAATGCACTCTTGGCGTTTTTTTATAATTTTTCCAAGAACATATATAGAGTCGAAGGCTCTAAACAATCAAATTAGAGCCTACCTCAAAAAACTCACAATAAGAGGCTGTTTTGATACCTAAATATCCTCAAATTGATCATCTCGACATCAAGATGCATGGACATGAGAACAAAATGGAATTCAAGTTTTGAAATATTGTAATGTATTTTTTTACCGTTAATTTTTTAAATTTTCAAGTTTTCATAGATCTGTTCATCTACATTATTTTTTAAGCTTTAAACTATATAAATAAAGATGAAAATATATTTTAAGGCCATCACAAAGATTTTCAATATTGAAACCGCATTTCTTTACACTATTTTAAGGTAGGATCTAATTTGATTGTTTAGAGCCTAGGCTCTATAATATACATTTTAGCAAAAGTTTATATATAGTCAAGGCTCTAAACAATCAAATTAGAGCCTACAACAAAAATTTTGATGTTCAAATATCCTCAAATCTCGACATCAAGATGCATGGACATGAGAAAAAAATAGACTTCAAGTTTTGGAAATAGTGTATCTTGTAACGAATTTTCGGACAATCAATTTTTTATATTTTTAAATTTTCATAGATCTGCTCGATCTACACTATTATTTCAGCTTTAAATTTTATAATCAAATATGAAAATATATTTTAAGGCTATCACAAAAATTTCTAGAATTTAAACCATATTTCTCGATACTATTTGAATGTGCACTATACTTTGATTGTTTAAAGACTCGGCTATATACAAATTACACTCATATATTTTTAATGATAATAATATTTAGATTAGGGAAAAGTTTATATAGAGCCGAAGCTCTAAACAGTTAAATTTGAGCCTACATCAAAAATTTCACTATAAGAGGTTGTTTTAATGTGCAAATGTCCTCAAATTGATTATCTCAACGTCAAGATGCATGGACATGAGAAAAAAATGGATTTCAATATTTTGAAATAGTATATTATGTAACGTATTTTTTGACCGTCAATTTTCAAGATTTTAAAGTTTTCATATATCTATCGATCTAAACTATTTTTGAAGCTTTAAACTTTATAACTAAATATAAAAATATATTTTAAGACTATCACAAATATTTTCACTATTGAAACGACAATTCTCGACATTATTTGAAGGTAGGCTCTAATTTGATTGTTTAGAGCCTAGGCTCTATACAAACCTCACGCTTTAGATTATACATGTATATATTTAATATAATCGTTAAATATTTATTGTATTTTATTTTTTTCCAGTTGGATCCTCTGACTTCGGCACGACCGAACTGGTGGCCACCCCTCAAATAGAGTGAATGCGATTGAGGCCATGTTGGTGGTAGCACCACTTGGCCTCAACTACCATGCTAGGTTTCCATTCCTACGGGTGCATTTGAAAACCACTAATTATTTATAAAATAGATAGGGACATGTACTCCTCACTTATAAGCCATCATTTTTATTTGGGCGAGATTTGCATAAGGTGCGCACTTTATAGTATACAAATAAGGCACTTTTAAATTTAGTGAAAAGATTTAGTTTGGTTGACGGTTTGAAAATTTCTGTTCAATTTTGATTATAAAATTTAAAATTTAAAACCAGTGTAGATACAATAGATCTATAAACACTTTAAATTATTGAAAATAAATGGTCTAAATAATTTATTATAATATATATTATTTTTAGGACTTTATATTTTTTTTTCTTTATACAAATACATCTCCAGATCGAGACAATAAATTGAACAATTTTCCAAGTTAAGAACACTCTTCTGTACTAAATTTTTAAGGTGCACCTTACTTCTACAATATATAGTCGCAGCCTTGTTTAAACTTTTTTCGTTTTTTTTGAAAGGATAAAGTTTATAGACGGTGTTGACTTTACACTATTGGAGTAAGATGGACCTCAAAACCCATCAGAAAAAAGGTGATTTATGATGCTAGAAAACCTTCAAATTGAGAATCTCAACCTTGTATAGATATTAAAAAAAAAAACGATTTCAAGTCATGAAGGTAGTATAATGAATTAGCTAATTTACTACTTAAGGGTAACAATAGATTTTCATCTGCATATTTATTTGGCTTTAAATTTACTACTCAAGAATAACAATAGATTTTCATCCCATCTCAAAAGCTTTCCAGCACCGAATTGTATATTGTGGTATGGTTTTGAAGTGCGCATTGCTTCAGTAATATATAATCGACACCTTATATACCTCGCCCTTTTTTGAAACTGAAACGCATTATAAAATGCATTATTTTTGTACTGTAAAACCAACGCGTACTAAAAAAAAATTCCACTAGAAAATGTTTGTCACTATAGAAATCCACCCTAAAAATGTTGTTACTTGTTATCACGCTAGAAAAGTCTTCAATTCATGAGATTGGTCTCGAAATGTATAACTATAAAAATATATAGCTTTCAAATCTTTAAAATAGTGTATCTTACAAGAGAGCATGTGGATTGTCTATTTTCAAGATTTTCAAGTATTTATACCTATTTGATATTGATATGCATTATTTTTCATCTATAGATTTCATGTTCAATGGTGAAACTAAATTCTCAAAACATCGCATCTCTTGCTTGGGTCCAGATATTTACCTGACATCGATTGTTTAAAGTGATGCATTGTGTAAAGTGCACACAAAAAATTATTAGGCACAGTTCATATAAGACATCAAAAAGTGAGGTGTACATTCAGACTATAAAAGATGTGATTTAGCACTAACATCAAATGACCTGAAAATCCATTTTCACCGATAACTATAATTTTTAAATCTCAACAAAATTGTTCAATCGAGCGTTATCTTCATCATAGCTTTTTTCCAAATTGAGCATATTTATGAATACTTTATAATCTTAAAAATAGGCAGTCTACGTAATGTGTTACAAAGTGTACTATTTTAAAAATTAATTATATATATATATAGCGACATTGGATCAATTTGAAGGCTTTTCGGCCCCATAACAGACTTTTTCAATGATTTTTTAGATGCCCTTGCTTTATGAGATCGCTTGAGAATCTTAAAAATAGACTATTTACATAATGTGTTTCAGAGTATGATTTTTAGGATTTGAAATTATATATATATATATATATATATATATCGACATTGAGGTGATCAATTTTAAGGTTTTTTAGCCTCAGAGCAAACTCTTTTAGTTGTTTTTTAGATGCCCTTACATCGTGAGATTGCCGCCTTATGGAAATTAATTCTTAATTGATTGATTAAAACTTTAATTGAAATGATTGTTTTTTGTGCCAATAGGAGCAATTTATACATATTTTAGTGGGCGAGGATGATGAAAAGACCAATCCTCTTGAATACAAAAAATGTCTAAAATATTATTTGTTACTTTAAAATCACAACAGTAACTACGAATCCACACTAGGTGGTGGATGCCACAATATGATGTTATTGAGTTCCATTCCTACCACATGTACATTCCCATTCTCAGTAATCCACCTAAAAAACATATAAATTACAATAATAACTTGATTTTCCTCAAATTAATAAGACCTTGTTTGCCTTACCTACCAAATTGCTTAATTATAGTTTAAAATGCACTAGTAGGCTGAGTTATTTCACAATGCTTGTCAAAAGCTATTTTTCAGATCCAAAAGGTTGCAAATAAGTCACTAAATCTATTTA